AGACAATTCTGCCAGGGTAACTGAGAATCATTAAGCGTCCTGCTATTGTGTGTGGTGAATAATAAAACTTTCCCCCATTCTTCGCCTGGAACCGACAATGAATAATTCGGGAGCTATTTGCAATGTTAACAGCACCTATCTTGCCCATCCATTCCTTTACGATAAGGAAATATGCATTTCAACAGTCTGTACAGATACCCATTCACAGGCATTTCAAAGGACACCTGTCACTCAAGTGAAGGACCTGTCAGTCTCCCCTGTGTGAGGGTGCCAAGAATATGGCCAAAAAAGATTATCTAGACTTTATTTCTTTTCCCTCCCACCCAACTCCGATTATAACATTGTTACATTTACCATAGACTGACAAGCGATATACATTCACAGTCATTAGGTATTTAAAACTGAAAAGGCAGGAGGGAGGAGAAGAAGGAGTCCTCTTCTTAGCCTGCTCAATCCCAGGGGTCTACAAGTACCAAACATACCATCAGAAAAGGGATCAAGTCCATACTGGGTGTCATTTTACCATACATCAAGATCATTTAATCCATGGGTGAACTCCAAAGGTGACAGTAGCCAAGCTGTGTAATTCTGGAGGTCCGAACCTTAAAGGACTAAGGGGAAGGAAGAGGCAGTTCAAGAGGATGGCTCTGAAACTTCAATGACCTTGGCAAAGAGAATCAATGGAGTAGGAGGATGAGAGGAGATGAGAGAAAGAGCAGCATCTATCAGGGAATCCTCTTTGCTACTATTGTCTTTCAACTAGAAGTTAGGCAAGATAACCTTCTAGATTTTGGAGCTAAAATTACCATAAGCTTCAGGTATCACAGCGAACAGACTGTAATTCTGAGAGTTATAGTGCAACATCTTTGGAAGGTATCATTTCTTTTTTCAGCACTTTGCCCAGTTCAAACATTCAGACGGGCACGAACTTTTTACCCAAAACAACATCTCAAAGGAGACATACATACATACAGACAGACAGACAGATGATAGATAGATGATAGATGATACATAGATGATAGACAGACAGACAGTTTCAACTCTATAATTCTCTTTCTCTTGTATGATATTACTAAGTTATTTCATTAATAGTAATGTTTATTTCTTTTATGGTAAAGCCTACTGTAGGGCATATAGTACATTCTGATAGTCTGTCACTGAAGCCCTGAATAGATATCTCCCTACTTCTCTTCATCAAATTTGTTAGTTCTCAGTTTGATGACTTCCAGATAATTTAAAAATTGGTTTCCATAAATCTTCTGTCTCCCAACTCAGCTGGCTAGGAATCACAGGTACTAAAGCCTAGCACTGCCTGGGAACATCTAGTTAGAGGAGGCTGCAGTGTTATCATGTTCCCGCTACAGGGCTGCTATATCTTGATTTTGTCATCTAATGTCACCCGCCCTTGTTCTGGGAGGGGGATATTATCGGTATTATATCTTGTCCTATGTTAAGCATGTTGTCTGTAGTAGATGGCACCATCAAGCTGAGTTTAAAAATGAAGCAGGTTCAATCCTGGTTACTATTTGTAATGTCAGATAAAGTGGTTCTAGTTTCTGTACTGTCGCCAATAAAATTCAGGGCTCTAGTTTCTATATTGTTGCGAATAAGATTATGGAAACATGTACACAGTCAGCAGCAGTCAGATTCAATTTAAGGTAGTTTTTATTGTCATCTTGTTAAGCATGCTATTGGTAATAATCTGCAATGGAAATTAGTATGATTATAATTCAAAGGTATTTCTACTGTATTTCACGGGGATTGATTAGCTATCTTATGCCAAGACATAAATAAATATTATTTGCATGTAACCCCTCTGTGATGTTGCCGTGTTAGAAGTTTATTTTGGTATTATTAAAAATGAATGGGAAGTATTACTTCTTCAACTATTGCTACTATTACTAGTAGTTGACTATTACTATCCAGAGAGTATTATAAAATCAGTAAAGTCTTGTACAGATGTAATAGCATAATAATCCCTGTTCAATGAATCTACTAACTTTATCACACATGGCAAAATTGCCTGCA